ACAGATTTCTAAAAAGAAGCCACTGATCCCAGGTGCACACTACACTGGATGCTTGGCCTGGAATTACGTGTACACAAAATTCATACAAAGTAGACAGGTATCATCAAACTTTAATGTAACACACAATCCATCCATACCTGATGGTGTTGAGAATCATCCAGTGTTTTGAAAACCATGGCGACCATCCCATGGGCTCTCAGGTGCATTCGGAAGCTGGGCATGGCGCACTTTGTCGCCAAGCTGATTACACTACAGAAAATTAATTCTGGATTAGCACCAAAATGAAAACATTTACAGAAATAGCAGATAAGTCTACAAAATGTGATTGACCATATACCTCAGACCCTGACAAAATCTGCCAGGATTTTTCTTCTACAATTTGTATAAATCAACTTGGTAACTGGTGAAGAGAGCTGCATTTTACTCGGCAGTTGCCTACCAGCACCAAACTGTATCTGCTTTATTTTAAGGTTGGTTAGAAACATGTTTGGAATGGGTGCCCTGAATTTGTTTCTTTCAAACAAAAGTTTAAATAATTTCCAATAGTTAAATTGAAAGTAAAATGTTCAGGAACTAAGCCCAAAGCTCTGATTCAGAGGCACCAGAGAGCTTATAATGGATCAGAGCATTAGCTGAAAGTATAAATGTGCGCTTCCACTGCTACCTAACAGTTATCTAATTGGCTGATTAGTTCTCCTTATGACTGACAGTATTTAAAAAAAGAACAAAACCAACAAATAACATCTTAAATATTTCTTGCTACATTTATGGTTGATGGAAACACTACAGATTTCAGAAAAGATCTGAAAAATACATTAGACTAATCAGTGATCAGCTTAACAGTTCTATTTTAAAAATAGAAGTCTTCCCTTGGTTTTATTAGCAAACTCTCTGTCATTTTTAATAGTCTATAGGTTGGGCTGTGCTGGAAAATACATTACTTTTAGAAGTGGATTAATGTGGGAGTGATTCTGCAATCAAGTCTTCCATGACTTCCAGGAATCTTGTTAGCAAGATTCATAGGGAATGGCGTTTAAAGTATAAGTCTCCAATCCCAACAATGCCAGCTAGAGCTTACCTATCAGTTTCTGATTCTTTTACGTTTATTCCTATCCTTACACACTGACTTCCTTTGGAAAAAATTATTTTAATTTCTTAACTGAAAGAAAAAATGTTTATGGTGTTTACGCAAGTTACATGCCATTACATAAATTCAGAAAGTATAAAGGTCAGTTTAAGATCTTAGGAAGCTTGCCATATGAGCAAACTAAGTGCACTCAATATGAAAAACACTCCAACTGTTGTTATGGTAGTAATTTACTCTTATCATAATCTACAAATTGGTTAATACATTTCTTGTGCTTATATTCCAGCAACTATATTCATTGATAGTTTTTGAGGAACATGAACATTTTTTTAAATAGCTCTAAAAAGTTTATAAAGCTTCTTCTCACAGTCAAATCTCAAGTGTCCTCATCACCTGTCTCTCTGGATTCAGGTTTTTCCTTCCCTAGCATTTTAGTTTTGCTAAACAGAAAGGAAAACTTAAAGAATATATTAAAAGAAAGATTCTTACACGGTTAGAGAACATCATTCTCATTACTTTATGCCCAGGGAATGGAAACAAATACTAAGTCAAACTTTTTCAAAGCAACACTAACACTTCTGATGCTAACACTGCAATAATGTGTAACGTTAACGTTAGAGTATAATGAGTAGTTGAAGACAACTTAGGGAAACTTTCAACAAATATTGAGGCCACAATACTTCCAAGTGCATGCTAGCTATGTTATTTCTCAACAGAGAATAAAGAACAGGAAGTTGGAGACAAATAGTATCTCAGTATTACATTAGTTCTAGATTAGAACCAGCGAACTTTCTAGTCTTAAGCATTTTATTTTGGAATTGAATTCTGCATTAAAAACAGAGCAGACATTGCAGAGAAGGTTGCACTAAACAAAAAAGTTATCAGACAATATTTTTAATCTATAGCAAGGTATGGAACTGTAACTAGTTTATAGCAAGTGTGTTGAAGATGTCTCTTACGACAGCGTTTCGTATTTCATTTTCCTGCTCATGCTACTTTTGATTATTCACAACATATCATCTTGAAGATTTCAAATTTTATTCTTCTAAGCAGAAGTGCCAGATAGCTACTTAAACAACATCTTAAAGCATGGACACTTCATGGATTAATACTGATTTATTTCAACATTGCTTTTCAATTTAAGTTCAGTGTTTTGTATTAAGATATCTTACCTAAGGCAACGTGTGTTTAGGGGCTGATTGCTCTTCAATCCACTTAGCAAGTATTCAATATCATCTGTGAACTCTTGATTTTCACCAAATTCCACCACATCATTGAAGTGCTTTACATGCTGAACAACAGTGTATAACTGGAAGAGACAAATATTTTGACCTAGGTAAGTTGCTCTTGAGATTTACTATAACCTTAACAAGTACAGTTTAACATTTATTCAGTTTTGAGTGCAAGGAAACATTACAAGTTAATGAAGGTCATTCAACTACTTATATAAAAATATTATCTTTAATAAGAAAGTCAAATTTCATTTTGACACTGTTCCTTCAGTACTCAGGATTACCAATAATTCTTTATCTTAAAAATAAGTGTTAAGAATACTTACTTCTTTGTCTTCTTTCCTACATTTCAATGCAGTTACTATCTCTTGATAGGGCTGAGTAGGTATTGTCACAGTTTTTATCACTTTGGGAGGTGGTGCAGGAGCCTTAAAAACTCCATCATCTTTATGAATTGCCTCCTTTGAAGATAGCCTTACCTATTAATAAGAAAGTGCTAAAATGGGCAGATGTTTTGAGCATGCAAACATACACTAAATACATCAGGAAACAGTACAGGTGTGCAATTGTCCAATTCACATTTTGGGACTATTTAGTCCTTGCCCTACACTACCAAGTTGTACCTAAGCTGTGTGATAATGTGCCTATTCTTAAAAAATAAATTATGTCAGAAATTAAATGCATTTTTAAATACAAAACCCAGTTCTAAGTACTCAGGAAAGCTCCAGTGGAATTCTGAAACTAAAAAAAATAAACAAAAAGTCCTTTATGCTGGTTCCTTATGCTTTAGGGTAAGTAAACCAAGCAAGTTCAGATATTAGAAGCAATTATTCCTTGATACTTACAAGTACCTCACCCCCTTACACTGGAGCTTCCAGGACTGAGTTGGCTGCTATACTGACCCATCATTAAGAACAGTGGTCTGGACACAAGCATAGCATCGAGCAATCACTGTCTCAACACAGCTTGAACTGAAAAACTGTGCCCACTGTTCTCATCTCTAGTTACTGGAGGCTACCTCACTGCTGTACTCAGCGTGTAGCTACCTGAAAATCAAGCTCTCCAACCTGGTATTCCAAACTGCATTTTGTCTGTAGGTAGAAGACTACCAGTGTGTAACATCTGCAGCACACTAAAAAACTGTCACACAGAAAAATGAGAAGCATGGTGCATACCTCAAACAGTGGAGCATGTTCTTGTAAAGTTATGGTATTCTCCATACACTTACTCATATTTGTGGTAATATTTTAGGAACAACCTAATATAGCATGAAATACAGCAAAACCTATTCTCTACTACCTTTCAATAAGTAGTACAGAACTTGGATGTTAGGTCTTTAAGAATAACTACTGACAACTATCCAGCCATCTCAGGCAAGTATTACAGGTTTCTGCTTAACCTACTCTTTAGTATTAGTTTAAGTCTACTATAAAGCTTAAGTGCCAGCTTGTCTTCAGATTACTTTGGCACAAATTCAGATGTTATGATAAACCACAGAAAACAAGGCATACAGACCTTGAAATTCCAAATTGTAAATGTACAAGTGCCAATGGCAGTGGTCATTTACTCACCCTCAATGTTTAATTTACAAATCAGAATGTTTTTTTAAGCATGACTGAAGAAAGTAGAGTTAACATGCAGGCATAGAGAATGCAACTTTCATAAGAAAACTATTCCTCACTTTAAGGGATATTTTCAGCTAAAGCCTCTTGTGCATTGTACATTAACAGTCAAAATTAAAACACAAGTCAGAACAACCTGCTATATTGATCCAGTATTCTTTACATGCTGCCTCTACCACTGTACAGCACTTCAGTATTTGCTCACTTAGGCTCCAGTGGCAAATGCTAATAAATCACCTGGTAAAGTTGATGTAAAGCACATACTGGAAGACACTGATCTTATCAGTCTGTGAAGATCGAAGTATTTCATCCAAGTCTTGTTTAATGGCCTCCCCTTCAAAGCAAACTCCAAGCCAGTTTGGGGAGGCCATAAGGAAACAGTACTTAGCATAAGCAGCCTCCATGCTATGGGTGTCTGATCATAAACCTAAGACAGATTGATCCAGATCTTCAGGTAACAAATTTCTACAGAAATTAGAGGCAGGATCATCTGCACAAGGATTACCGCTGAACATTTAGACTGAGGCTCATTTATCTTCTAACTCTTAAATGTTAATCATAAACACATAAATCAAGGTGAAATAAAGTGACTGAAGTAACTTCAGATGTACATCATAACAGGAGGAGCAGATACAAACATATTCCCCTAACTGGTTCGTTCAGCCAAACCTCTGCCACATTCCTGAATTAATATTTTGATGGTTCCAGTTACAAAGTGAAAGTTTGTGGAAGACAAATGGCTTGTCTGAACATGAATGATCCAGACATATTCCTAGCCTGAAGAGGACATATTCAAAGTCTGTCTGAGAAGACTTGAGACAAAATCTGACTTGAAGTTACCTATAGGAGTAATTAAAAAATAATCAGTACCAATACAAAGATTCAGTAAGCAACAAAAGCTTCAGTTCAAGTGCACCTCATTTAAATCAAGAAAGGGTTTAGGAGAAACCCAGGACTGAAATTTCTGTTCCCTCCTCAAACACTAGTGGTAATGGTTATTTTTAAATAAGTCATCTGCATTTTCCTGGCAGTTCAGTTAACGCTGAAGAAAGGCTGTTCATAATACTGTGAGGATGCAACCAAAACCAACCATAAATCAATAAGGAGCTACTAACACAAAAAACACACAGGTGGAATTAAAAAACAAACCAACAAAACCCAAACTGATGACAAAAGCTGAAGACTTATCACTGCAAGAGTATCTACTTTATGATTTTTCTATTCTCAGACAAGTACTGAAAGCAAGGAACCAAACAAAATGAGTTTACTGACAATGTACAATGCTCTTAGGATAATCAGCAACAATTAGGTGTAATCAGCAACAACTAACAGTACGTAGTAAGACCAACACTCTGGGGTCTCAAAAGAGTTAAAAAGCTATTACTTTAAGCCTCAGAACAATCACTGATTTTTGAACAATCAAGTTACTTAAGAACTGTTTTCACCTCTTGTCTACTTTTTGTAGACATGCTATGTTTGCATTAGCATTTCTGTCTTTATACATAAAATCTTGTTTCTTTCATAGTTCCTAAAAACTTAAGTAAGGAAATCAAAATAATTTACTCCATTAGAAAGGAAAAATAAATGGGATGTCTTTGAAGTGTTTCCTTTTTGACCCGCAGCTTGCTGATTTCTATGGGCATTAGCAAGTTAATCATAGGGGTTCTCACAGAAGACAAAATGGAGTTCACTGCTAGGAAACTTAACTTCAGTAGATTAGGGAACTTTTCTTAATCTGCAGATTGAAATTATATGGAAGATCCCATTCTAGAATATTTCCACTGACAATTTATCTCCTATCAAGTATTCAATGGCTCACATCACAAAGCAGATTTCATTCTGAATTACTGTGACATTACCAGGTATTAAGAACTTGCGTTTCAAAAAATTGTCAATGAATCTTAAAAAGGAAATTTACTGAATTTGAGAAAAAAACAGTCTACTTACTGGGACACTGGGAGTTTTCAAAACTGGTGGTGCTGGCAGAGCCTCTGATTCTGGTTGGTTCCAGTGCCTAGCATTATATACAGCTTTTGTGGGAGACTGAAAGATAAAAAAAGGTTATTTTTTAAGCAAATCTACCAGTAGTCAGCATATATTTCAAAATTCATGTAGAATAATGTAGCTAAACAAGGCAAGTGAGCTTCATTTTCTCCCTTCTGTTTTCTCAGCAACAGAAGCTCTCAATATTGTATTTATCAGAAAATCTCAAAGACTTCAAAGGACCTGATGGTTTTGAAGACATACAGATCCATTCCAATGGCAAAAGACATGATACATATGCATTTCAAGAATTCTTCAGTTTTTCTACTTTTAAAATTGATTCAAAGGCAAAGGGTCTGCAGCCTTCCTACAGGCAAAACCAGACAGCTATGGCAAAAAACATGTTAGCAAACACCATGTCAGTGGAAAGTATGACTAGAGTACAATCAAAATCTGGAATTCTTACAGACTGATGCCTGAAGGAAGAAAAAAACACTCAAATGAAATGCTTTAATCCATATTAATAAATTAAGAAGCCTTTTTTTCCTTCCTGCTCAAAAATGCATCAAAGCAAATCAAAGTGCATCAAAATTGATTGTCCCTTGAATTTTTGGGAAATAATTCTTAGAGAAAGTAAAAACAATTATATTTCTAGCATTTGAGTTTACCAATCTAATCACATAATAATATTCCAGACTAATATACCATTACAATTTCCAAAATTTTCCAAAATGCCATATATTGTGTAAATGGTGCCACTACAGACCTCCTCACACACAATTATATAGCATTTTAAACATGGCAAAAAAATACATTAAAAAAAAAGTTAGACACTAAAAAAATTGTCAAAATATCATGTATCAAATATTTAAAACAGATACTGGCTCAAGTACAGCCCACAGAGGTGGCATGCAGAGCAAACCTAGCAGTACCAGCTATGGATTGAATACCATTCTATTAAGTGTAGCAAGGTTTTGGCATGTGAAAAGACGGCAAGTAGATTTTATAAGTCAACACTTCCTGTACCATTGTAAAAACTCTACTGTGCTGCATCCTTCCATTCTTTGCAAGAAGAGAAAGTCCAGACTAACAAAACTTAAAAGAATATTAGCAGAATTAAAATTTCAGCTCTAAATTTTCAGAGCCCAAAAGAACTGTCAAACACTAAATTATTTTCATTTCCAGACAAGAGAAAAGCCTCTTTCCTTCCTACAGTGAGCTTTGATGTGGCCATAAGAACCCTACTTGGTTTTTGATTATTTAAAGCAGTGCTCATGTACTATTCAGCAGTAAGTAGACAACAGACATTGTTGAAATGGTTTTACCTATTTTCCAAGCAAGTGCTTTAAAAAAAATACTTGTTCAGGTGATGGGTATCAAAAGTTACATGCAGCCACCACAGCCACACGAAGGAACAGCCAAACAAGGGTTTTGATAATTTCTAACTTTCCCAAGTAAGAAGCACTAACTTGCTCAAATTCCTGATAATCTCACTAAACTCAAAAACTTCAACTGAGAAACCAGTTTTAAGTTCATACTGCAATAGTTATGAGAGGACATCTCTGTCCACAAATAGGAAGGTGGTGCCATACAAATTCTTACTTGAAAAAGGTTATCTGACAAAATGGTTAAAAAGTTAACTCTTTTTTCCTACACATTTCTGAGTAGCAAATTCTTCCCAGGAAACTGACTCCATGTTTGCAATACACAGAGCAAAGACAACTTTCTAAGATGGTATTTTAATAACAAAAGATACAATGTTTCACAAATATCTGTAAAGGTAAAAAACCACTATTTTCTAGATACACTTTTTTTCTTTACCTACTTGCAACTGTTCCACAAATTATCTCAGTGTATACTCAAGATTGGGAAGAAAGAGGGTAAGTAAGTTTCTGGGTGCTATATCTTCATATATGAGATAATTCAAGAAAACAATGCACTCTATCAAGTAAATAGCATGAAAGTAAACCATATATTTGGTATCAGTTTCAGTTGACTGCATAATTCTGTTTAACCCTGCAGGGAAGCTTAAATTTTGTAGAATTTAAGCTTCAATTCTCATAGCACTGTACTGCATTACCCCTGCCAGAAGTCCCATTAGCATAGTATATTCATCAACGGTAGTCCCAAATCTCACTTGTAGTCTCATAGTACTCTAGCCTACTTAAACAATATAAATATTAATATTCCTAAATTTCCTGTCTGGGAGCTACATGCTGCACAAGAGCCCTTCAGGTCTCTGTGACAGCAGTGTCAGGCTGGTCACATCCAGCAGTGAGAGGGAACCCACACACCAGCATCCTGCAGTCATGCCATTCTCATTGCTCGATGCAGAAACAACAGGGCATACAATAAGCCAGGCCCTGCTGCTGCTGCAGGACTCCTGTGTTTATGAGGTTCAAGGGAAGAGCACACCACACTGCTGCCCCAGGAGAGAAAACCTCTCTTCCCTTTTTCTTCAGGCCTTTGCACACTGAAGAATCAAACACAGACCTTGTCAGGAGTAGGGGGAGAAGAGTCGTGTCAGTGTTCAAGTTCGTCTTAACCTGGGAGGCAGCAGTTGGAACAAGCCCTTGCCAACAGAATTGTCTGTAGCCTTGGATTTTCAAAATTTAGCAGCTTTGTTGCATACACATGCATAGGAAACACAGATGACAGAGGATCAAGTTCAGTGCTTCGATATGGAGTGAGAACAAAGCATATAAACAGCTGTGCCACCATAATCAAAAGGTCCACACAGCATCAATGTGTTTCCTTCAGCACAGAGCAACAGCTGATGCACAGGAAAGAGTTCAACAGGGCAAACAGATGAAGACAACTTCTTCTTAATACCTAGGACTCAGAGGCTTCCCGAGTCAGAAATGGCATCCTTTTTATTTAATCACCAAAAAATGGGCTTTTTTCCTCTGACTTTACTTCAACTCTTACTAAATCAAAAGCTAAGGCATCCGGAAGTGTTTTGTGACAAGGCACTTCACAGCCCGCTGCGGCACTACCATTGCAATATAGAAGAAAGTTGCATTTTATGTGAAAAACCAAGTAATGACACCAATAAATGCCTGCTCTGAGAAATGAGGGGCTGTCTTAATTTAATAGCTTTCTTGTAACAGAGCCTAAACTGTAACTGAAAATGGTAATTATTTTAAACTTCAAATACCTGTCTGTGGAAGGTTAGTTTTAACCTCTATCCCTTGTAATACCTTCCATTTTTAGATCATACTTATTTTGCTGGTGGTTCCATGCCTTCTCAGTAATATTTCATCAGACATTAGACACTGCTCCTCAGCATCTCCAGTGTCTGGTCCAGTATCCTGTCTTACACTGATTGCACACAGCCCAAACACACCTGCAAAAATCCAACCTATTTTCCGAAGAAATATGTCTTAATAATTTCTAACACGTTACACAGAGACTTTGGAGCCTATTTTACAACTCACATTGACATGGCAAATACATCCCTCCTTTACAAGCACCTCTTGAAGCAACCTTCAGGTTATTCCTTGAAACACAAAACGAAAATGAACGTTCAAAACAATTAAAAAGAAACAGCATCAATATTCAGCAATCAGTAAGCACTGTGTAGACTTGCTTTCATTACTGTATGAGAGAACTGAAGCCAAGAAAAGAATCAAAGATCAAATGAATGCTGGTGAAAAAAGACTTATCAGAAGGGCTTGGTCACAAAAGCAGAGGGGTTTGTTTGGGATTTTTTTTGTTAGGGTTTTTTTTAATTCTACTTGTGATAAGCTTCCCTCAGGAATTAACACTTATATATAGCCAGCCGTCATTTAAGAAACTGACTTACTTTCTCTGAAAGACAAGACAACCTTGCAATTATTCAAATAATGCAGGCTTTTCTTGAAGAATTCCTCCTCTCAAGCTTAACTTAGAATAGATGAAAGTGGAAGTATATCACTCCTTTGAATTCTGTGTTCTTAAAGTAAATAAGTTCTGCAATATTAATCAGCTGTAAGAGCTTCTACTGAATAGCAGAAGTTTCCTTTTTTCATTTGTATGGAACTGACAGCTGCTTATACACAGATAGGTATTGGAGAGTGCAAATATTCCACTGAAGGTATGAAGTGTGTTATCCTGTGGGACATGGCATGTGATTCTGGGGAATGAACTGGGATGCAAAACCACAACTAATGCCAAGGATTTTGCAAAATGCACAGGCCTGTCAGATTCGTAAGATGACCTCCAAATGGTATAAGCTGTGGGTCACACTTAACCTCCCATCCCTGATAGTCTCCAAACTGAAATTTTCAAGAGCTGGCACTCTGCACATGGTGCTGCAGCAATGCCTGCCACTCAGACATAAGAATAACTGCAAGTAAGAGCCAGCGACATGAGTCATGCTGAAAACACCAGCAAAACACTAAGGACAGAAGGTATTTGCAGGCAGGAATTCTTTTTGAGGCAGAAGACAATGACAAAAGAAAA